TATATATTTTTTAAATTCCTTTCTGGGATATCTGCAGACATTTTGAAAATGATAATTTTATGAAAAAAATTAAAGGAGGGTAGATATTAAGTTAGATTCCCCTAACATTTTGTTCGAAATTACGCCTATGCATAAGATGATTAATATATGCCTTATTATTATAATTATAATAGCAGGTTTTTAAATATTTGTTTAACAATAAAGAGTGAAAAAGATAATGAGTTTATTTTTAGAAAAAGGAATAAAGATCTGGAATCAGTTCCTATTTTAGAAAATGAACGAGTTCCGTTTAAAAAGGAATTTTCCCAACACTGAATTTAATTGATTCAAGTTTAAGATTAACGTTTATTCAATAACATTTATGTTTATTAAATTTTTGAAATTTAATTAGCTCACTGAACATTTCATTAATCAAAATAATTCAATTGATATATACGAGCCCTACTTTGTCGATCCGATTTGCCAAGATGTTCAAACAGTGAGTCCCTCTTATCGAAGTATAGCCGTTATGTCTGATCCAAGTAACCTCACAAGGCCTGTCCAACATCTGTCTTGGTCTCCTGATGAAGCATCTAAGATAGCTGTAAGCTACGCTAACGTAGAATTTGAAACTAGAGGTTCATCAAATAGTCCAAATTCATACATATTTGATCTTGGTAAATAATATCGTTATTATTTCTACTGTAAGAAAACATTTTATTTGAATTAATTGTAGAAGATTCAACTATGCCAAGCTTTATTGTCACATCACAGTTTCCAATTGTTAAACTTGAATTTAACAGTCGTGATAAAAATAACCTTGCTGGAGGTCTAATTAGTGGACAAGTTGCTTGTTGGGATACTCGCAAAGGATCAGACTGTATTGCCATGAGCAATTTAAAGAATAGTCATCGTGATCAGGTGACAGGTATTTATTGGATACATTCAAAAACAGGGACAGAATTTTACTCTGGTTCAAGTGATGGTCAGGTAATAAATAATTTTTTTTTTTTTAGTTTTACAATGAATTATTGACTTAGAATAACTTGAGAGGTCCCTCCCAACAGTGTCGTCTACTGATTAATTTTTTTTTGTTTCTTAATTATATATTGACGATGTAACATTGAGGATATGAAAGAATAAATGGAGGGTATGGTTTTAGTGGGGAGGACGACTGGAGATATAATCTTGGATTTAGCTGTAATATATGACCTTGCTATAGTTAATACTTATTTTAGAAACGGGGAGAACATTATAAATTTTATAAGAGTTGGAGTAATAGATCACAAGAACGATTAATCTAATAAAAGATTGTAAAATTATCAAAGGCGAGAGTGTAACTAC